TAATGATTTGATAACAATTAAACTCAATCAGTAAAGAAAATTGTGATTTCTAGAAAGACAATACACGTGCTTAGTCATGATAAATTCAAAAAATGGTCTAGAAATCTATCTGATAATTAATATAAGTAGTCCATAAATTGTTGTTATATTTACCATATTTTCAAGATTCAAATATCATCCAGTATGAGATACTCACACATCTAGGTATCAGGCAGTATACAGAAGGCTGAGGTGCGGATAGAACGTGCTCAGGCTTATAGGTTTATATTATAAACAAATCACACAGAATATTGTTTATGCATTTTATAATTTGTGTTCTCTTTTTATTTTTATTATTATAATCATAATAATATTATTGTATTTATTATTTTTCCCGCTATAACTTTTTGTTATAGCGTTATATTTTGTATTTTCCCTGAAGATGACTATCGAAGATAGTCGAAATATCAGAAAATATCTTAATAAAATAATATGTTTTAAATATAAAAAATAAATTATATATTTTTTATTTTTATTTAATGACTAGACTATCACTGACTTATCAAACCGCCCTCGTATAACTATAATTTAATTAAACACCTCGTTAAATTTTTGATGAATCTAAGCAGCAGAACAAATATAATTTCAATGGAGTTGATTGCTTTAATAATATTTTATATGAAAAATCAACTTATGGGTCATCAGGTTGGGTACTTTTAAATTTCCTACTAAACGTATTCAGTTTATGGATCTTGGTTATGTTTAGATAAAAAAAGTCCAATGTCAGTTACCTTTTTTTTTTTTGTTTAATGTTATTTTATGTCTCATTAAATCTGTGCCGCCTATAATAACTTATTTTGTTTTCACAGACTCTCTTGCCTACATCCGTCAATCGGTCGGTCTATGGGCAGAACTGTAAAAAATTATTTCTAAAGCCATTAAACCATAACAGATTTAAGGATTTTTTAATGTTTTTTTATTTTAAGAATAAAAAAAATGACAGCAAGCAAACAAAATGTAAGCCTAAAAGGATTAAAAAAATTCAAGCAAAACCTTTTTTTTTTTGTTTTTTTTTTTTAGTTGTTTTTTGTTACACTTCTGACATTTTTTTCTCGTTTACTCTTTTTTTTTTGTTGCATAAAAATTAACTGAAGCTGCTACTGCTGCTGCCAACATCATCCTTAACGCCCAAAGCGCTGTAAATAAATAAAGTGTTAACATTGTTGCTCACTTCCGTAGTCTCTAACAAGAGCCAAGAAATGAAGAGTCTTTCAAATCGCCCCCTCCGCACTAACCCCACAACCCACTAACCTTGATGTATAGTATGGTATGTCGTATGCTTTGTAACTGTTGTTGTTTATTATTTCTGTTGTAATTGTTGTTGTAGTTGTTGTTGCTATTATTTCATATTTGCAACACGCAGGCCAACGCAAGCTGCCACTGAAAAAGACAATATTTAAGCGTCACCGACAAGAGGCCAGCAAGCCAACAGTGGAAAATTGCTGCCTTTTCCACTACACAAAGTGGAATTTATTCTTTAAAAAAAAACAGCAGAGAAAACCGTAAAAAAACAACGAATAATCTTCCATATAAGTTTGCAACCAACTGCGTACGCGATGCATGTGTGCGTTGTGTGCGTTGTGTGGGAGGGTCAGAGGCTGACAATGTTTTCAGAAGAGCCAACAAAACACAAAAGCATAAAAGGCGCAACCTTTTGTATTGCAATTTTTAATTCTTGCATCCTTGTGTGTTTTGTTTTGATTGCATGTGGTGTGCTTGTGCTTGTTCTTGTGTTTCGGTGGAACATGCTTGTGTGTGTTTGGGGTGGGTGAGTGTGTGAATGAGTGTGGGTTGTGATGTGATGCTGTTATCAGATGTTTAGACCAAAATATTCATGCCCTTATGAGTGAGACAGAGGTAGAGAGAGAGAGAATGTAAAACTGCTGGAATTTTTGCTGAATTAATAAGAGTTGTCAGCGTTTTATTGAGAGAGAAATATTGTATAAAGGTGGTAAACCGTTTATTTACTTTAGTTTTTTAACGCAGTTTAGGAGATAGGAACCACAAATTTAAATTAAATTTTGTATTAAATAAAAGCAAGAAATATTTACCCTAAAAGAAATTGTTAGTTCTAACAAGAAAAAATTAGTTTTAGATAAGGAGGGCGTTTACTATAGGATTATTATTATTATTTTAATTATAGGAGCGAGGAAGATTTTATTTTGGATTCAGTGCATGATTTCTAACTTTATTTCCACAAAACAATATCAAATCTTCGTACCATAAACTTAGACGGGTACCAATATTTAACCACAGTTAAAGTAATTGCAATATAGACAATAGAATAAAGAGGATGACGTAGACATAGTTTTATTAATATTAATTTATGTTAGATCATGATGCTGATTATGACTTTCAAGAAGCGTCAAAGTATAGAATATATTAAAAAATATTAAATAAACGTTGAATTATTTAACAAAAAGTGACCTATAGCCGGATAAAAAAATTTATAAAAACCGTTATATTTGACAAATCTTAAACATCTCTTGGTTCAAGACATTAGACCTTATTTAATGCCTTAATTCCTGTTTCCTTAAAATCACAACACCAAGCAGATAAAATGGACGAGTGTTACCATTTGCATTTCACAAAATTTGCAGGTATCGGTGTCATTAAAAATCTCCTTTAAAAAGTAATTAATATAGTTTTTAATAGTGTTGTCGTAAAAACTTTCTTATAACGACAGAGTTATTTTTAAAATTTAGAGGGTTTTCGAATAGCTATTCTATTAATTACTATAAAAAAGTAATTAATCTAAGTTTAGATTTGTTAAAGTTGACACATCTATCAACATTTTTATTGATGACCCAAATAAAGTATTTGAGTTGCCTGAGATCTTTGCCATGGAAAAGAGATTTCGCAAACAATTTATATTCAACATTTACGAGTACTGATAGAGAGGATATCTATAACTTTGCCAACACGTATATTGAATTCGATATCTTAAAATATCATTGATAGAGTCCACAGTATTTAATGCTTGACAGAATAACATGATGACCTAATTTGAAAGCTTGAAAACATTGTGCTCTTAAAACACATATCAATATAATTCGCAGATAAATGCTTCCATTAGAATTTCAAAGAATTTTACCAGTACAACTATGCTGTTCATTGGATCAGAACACCCGGTTGGAAAATGTAACTCCATATCTAAGAAAAGTAAGAAATTATAGTCGCTCTAACAGAGTAACTTTGGGTTTTAACGACAGGCAATATGATACTCCCAATAAAGGGACCTACCTCAATTGATCAAACAATGGCGTAAATACCGATTCTTTCTTTTTGTATAATAAATCATCTTCCTCTCACTTCATCATTTTTTATCGCTTTTCTCAATGTTCCAATGTCCAAAAAGTCAGGTAAGTTCTTTTTGCTTTGTTTCACTATATAAGATTATGTTACATTATATAAATTATAAATATAAGATTTTGTCTACATTCTAAAACTTATATAATCGTTAAAATAATTCAAAATCACTAAATTGTTTTTTTATCTTAATAAAATCTTAAATAATTATCAAAAAAACAAAAATTTGAACGATTCGAAATTTGGTGTGGTGGATTGTATATAAACAATAGAAACAAGAAAATTATCTTTACATTTTTAATATATTTTGTTTTTTAATATTTTAAATTAATATTTCAGATATTTTTAATCTAATATTATATTATTTAAAAATAATTAGTAAATTTGCTCATATAATTTTTAAAAGTATGGTATTCCATATTTAACTTTCATCAACCTGAAAGCTTTTAAGCGATGAATCCATTTCCTTTTATATTTTCTGTTAAATGTTACATATAACAAAGTATTTATATAATTTAGCACAAATATAAACTACGGTTTCTAGAAATATTAAATTTATCTATAAAACTCTACAACAAGGACTGTTGAATGCTTTAGAAATGTCTGCGCATAATTTTATAGCACAAAGTGTGTTATCTAATATAAAGACTGGATATAAAATTTCTTATATAAGATAAAGTGCTTTATCTCAGAAACATTAAAGCTCAGGATAAAAATCAAGATATAGTAGTAAGATAAATATTTGATTAATGTATTTCCCATTGTTTATGGGAAATTTAAATAAAAGCACGGAAAACACAATGAAGACATCTTTTTAGAAAAGTTTGAGCATAATTTGCTATAAAATTATAGTAATATTATTAAAAGCGCAGGATAGATGGACAATTGTTATAAGTTTAAATAATTCAAATATAATATATAATTTATCGTGTTTCTGAATATAAAAAAGTATTAAACGGATTTTTTTTAACCGTCGTAAATGCCAGTGGATTTTTCAGTGACAGCTTGCGTTGGCCTGTGTGTTGCAAATCTTCTTTCACTATGGGTGTGGGTGAATTGGGGATGGGTGGGATTTAAATTCAAACCAACCTGTGACAAGATAGAGATACTGGTCAATTCAATAAAATGAGTACAAAGGTCTCAGATCTGAGGTTTGTGTGTGTAATGAGGCAAGAAAACAGATGTGCAACGTCATGGGAAGTAGAGTTGTAGCTTGGGCACACATTAGGAATAGAAGTGTGTATGAATGACGAGTAACTGTTTAGCACTTGATTGTATCCTGATCTCGATTGAGATAGGGACAAGTCTTGTTGCATGGGGGATCGTCGTTCTTTCTGACAGGGACCTATACGGAATCATTTTGCAGGACAACCTTGGTCTCAAAGAGAATACTGTATCTGTGTGAAGGGGAGATGATTTATAGGTTTGGTTTTTTTTTTGTCTCACCTTAAAAAGTTGGTTGTTAATTGGATAATATTCAGTTAAGCAATCATTTTTTAATTTAAATTTATTTGATTATAAAATGATTATTTCACTCTACATATCTCTTTAATCATACTGTTAGTAAAAAAGTCTTATAACATATCTATTCTAAACACTGTGATATATAAATATTTTTTTGAATTGTTAACAATAATAAAAATTTATTTTTATAAAATCAAATAAAATTTTTTTTCTTTAAAATTAGAACAAGGACGATCTTATATGGGTCTCATATGTCTATAATAATGTAAATGTTAGTCATTTCCTATTGAACAATTTGGAATTTGGGCAGTTTGACAGCATTTAGAATTTAATTTAATGCAGAAACAGCTTTCTGTGCTGCATCATCTAAGTCTTTAGCAGTTTGTATGGCAAGACCAGAATTTTTAAGTATTTTTCGTGCTTCATCTACATTTGTGCCTTCCAGACGCACCACCAGTGGTACATTTAAATTAAGCGTTTTTGATGCGGCCACAACTCCATTAGCAATAGTAGCACAATTTACAATGCCACCAAAAACGTTAACTAATATACCCTTAACTTTTGGATCTGATGTTAGTATTTGGAAGGCTTTCATCACTTGATCTTCTTTTACACCACCGCCAACATCAAGGAAATTAGCTGGTTCACCACCATTAAGTTTAATAATATCCATTGTAGCCATAGCTAAGCCAGCGCCATTAACAAGACAACCAATATTACCATCCATTGCTACATAATTTAAATTATGTTTAGCTGCTTCGACTTCACGTGGATCGGATTCCTCCTCTGTTATGTCCATAGCAAAAATTTCTTTTTGACGAAAAGCTGCATTATCATCGAAATTTAGTTTGGCATCAACTGAAATAACTTCGCCGGTATCGATTTCAGCCAAAGGATTTATTTCAATTTGTACAGCATCCACAGCTTTGAAAAGCGTATACAACTTTTGTATTTCATTGGCACAATGTTGCAGGGAAGCACCT